GAGGTAGTATAATACTGGCAATTTGCCAAGTCAGATACCACAAACATTACCATAAGCATCCTTAAAGAAGAATCTGCAAGGAATTAAACCAAGGAGGAAGGGAAAATAATACAAAAGACATTTAGAAAATATTAAAATTTGAAATGTCACGTATTAAAACCTACAAGGCAGAGACAAAGCTGTACCCCTAAGCATCATCCCTATAAATCTTTTTATTATTTACAGCAAGAAGGAAAATGCATGAATTAAACATTCAAATTCATATTTTAGAAAACATTATGTCCTACTGAATGTATAATGAACAAAATTAAAGAAGGTAGAAGGAAAAATATTATATTTTTAAATAGAATTTAAGGCCAGGTGTTGTGGCTCACACCTGTAATCTCAGCACTTTGGGAGGCTGAGGCAGGCAGAACACTTGAGTCCAGGCGTTCAAGACCTGGGAACATAGCAAAACCTCATCTTTACTAAAAGTATAAAAATTAGCCAGGTGTGATGGTGCACACCTGTAATCTCAGCTACTTGGGAGGCTGAGACACAAGAATCACCTGAATCCAGGAGGCGGAGGTTGCAATCAGTGGAGATTGCTCCACTGCACTCAGCCTGGGCAAGCAAGCAAGATTCTGTCTCAAAAAATAAAAAATAAAATAAAAATAGAATTTAAGACATAAAAATAATTTAAAATTTAGTTTTAGAAAAACATATTAATTTAAGACAAATAGAGTTCGTGTCCTTTGTAGGGACATGGATGAACCTGGAAACCATCATTCTCAGCAAACTGACACAAGAGCAGAAAATCAAACACCGCATGTTATCAGTCATAGGCAGGTGTTGAACAATGAGAACACGTGGACACAGGGAGGGGAGCGCTACACACTGGGGTCTGTTGGGGGGAAATAGGGGAGGGACAGTGGGGGGAGAGGAGTTGGGGAGAGATAGCATGGGGAGAAGTGCTAGATGTGGGTGATGGGGAGGAAGGCAGGAGATCACACTGCCACGTGTGTGCCTGTGCAACAATCTTGCATGTTCTTCACATGTACCCCAAAACCTAAAATGCAATAAAATAAATTTAAAAAAAAAGAATTTAAGACATAGTTTTAGAAAAAACTATAGAATAGTTTTTAAAATAGAATTTAAGACATAGTTTAGAAAACAGAAATAGGCAAGCCTCTGGCAATATCACAGAAATGAGAAAACATATTAACAAAATGATAAATGAGAAGAATATAGCAACATATACAGAGAAATATTAAAACTAAAGATTACCAATTAAAAAAATGAAAAAGCTATTAATAAATGAATCCCTTCCCATTTCACTAATTCCTTATATCCTTCCCCAAAAGATTTGCAGATATAAATCACTTTACTGGATAAATCTTTCTTTCTGTCAGTATGACTCATTTCCATGATATTAAAAAATTTCAAAACATGGAAAAGATGGGAAGCCATACAAATCATCAAGAGAGTAAACAAATGCTGAAGTTACAAGGTATAATGAAATAAAAGACCGCATTTATAATGGCAACAAAAAACAATAAAATTCACTAACAAATTTAACAAAGAATTGTGGAAGATCTATATGAAGAAAACTTTAAAGCAATCAGAGGAACACAAAAGAAGATTTCAACAAATGAAAAATATGTCATGTTCTCAATGAGTTCCAACCTCATACAGATGTCAGTTTCCTCTAGGTTAATTTATAAATCCTTTCATCATGTCAATAAAACTCACCAAGCTGATTATAAAATTTACATAAAAAATAAACCAATGAGTGCCATAAAAATTCTCAAAAGGAATCTCTAGCACTACTAGACATTACAATATTAGAAAATTTTTATAATTAAAAAGTATGGTTCTGGCATACAAAAATGCAGACCAATGGAAGAGAGAAGAAAGTCCAGAAATAGATCCGAATACCTAAGTAACATTTCACATCAGAGGATAAGAAATGGACTATTTAACAAATGGTGTTGAGACAAACGGATAGACATCTGGGATGGAAATACAAAGTCAGATCTATTTATGACACCCTACCCTTGAATGAATTCCAAATTATTCAAGGATTTAAATTTTTAAAAAAGGAAACTACTAAAGTACTATGAGAAAATATGAGAGAGTCCTTTTATAACTTAAGGCTAGAGAAAGTGTTTCTAACTATAAATCAAAGTCCATGGGCATAGAGGAAAGTTTGTTAAATGTAATACAGGAAAAGAAAAAAAAATCATAAGCAAAATTAAAAGACAATGGATGCCTGCTTCAATTGTGATGAAAACCTGAAGTGGTTGGACAACTCCTACCACAGATAACGAGTATTAAACTGGAAAATATATACATATAAGGACAATTATTTGAAGGCCCTGGAAGGTGAACAAAGGGAGGCAGATACTGGGGCAGATATTCCTCTTAAAAGAATATAACTGTGATGCACAAGAATTACAAAAATGTTTAATTGTGTGGGTCCGAAAGTGTTTTCCAACTTCCCCACTCCCACCCCAACACTGGCAAATGGCTACAGTTCTGAAGATTTAAGGTGGCAGAGGGTGGAGTTCAGAGCTCGCAGAGCAGCTGGAAATTTAGGGAGAAAATCCTGGAAGCAAGCAACAGAGAGGGCAGAAAACATGAAAATGACATACTTAAAGTGCTAGAAAAACAAATTGCCAAGCACGAATTCTATATACAATGAAACTCTACCTCAAAAATGAGTGTGAAATAAAGACATTTTCAGATCAATATAAACTGAGAATGTGTTGCCAACAGAACTGAAGCACAAGAAATATTAAAGGAAGTTGTTCAGGCTGAAGAGAAATAATACCAAACGAAAACTTGGTTCTATAGGAAAAAAAGTCTTTATAAGGCATGTGCCCATTTAAAGCAAAAATCATAAATGGTATCGTTGGGTTTATTGCATACATTAATATAAATATATGACAAAAAGCAAACAGGGGACTCAACCGTGGCATGGTTTCTGTTTTACCCGAAGCATTTTAACATTAGCTCTAAGTATGTTTTGCCAGTTGAAAATGCATACTTCAAGCTCTGAAGAAACTACTAAAAATTGCAAAGAAGTAAAGCTAAAAGGCCAGTAGAGGATTAAAATGAAATATTAAATATACCTGATTAACATAAAGTGAAGCAGTAATGGAGAAATAATGGAGTGGCAAAGGAACAACAACAAAACAACAACAAAAAACAGATGAGATAAATAGAAAAACAAGAAAAACGGCAGACCAAATCCAATTACATAACTACACTAAATGTAAATGAACTTTAGTCCATCAAAAGGCAGAGACGGAATTGATAGACTGCATAAAAAGCAAAAACCCACTATATGTTGTTTACAAGCGATATGCTACAAATACAAAGACACAAAAGGGCTGAGAGTAAAAGGATGGAAAAAGATACACCGTGCAAATGAAGAGCATAAGAAAGCTGGAGTAGCTATATTAATATTAGACAAAACAAATATTAAAAAGAGTATTATTAGAGGCAACGAAGACATTCCATAATAATAAAAGAATGAATATATTCAGAGGATAATAATAATCATCGTAAGTGTGTATGTACCTGTTAATAGTGCTTCAAAATACACCAAGCCAAATTTGACAAAAAGAGAGAAAGAATAGATAAATCCACAATCATAGAGATTTCAAGCCTCTCTTTCAGTGATTCATAAAAGTGCTAGGTAAAAATCCGTAACGGTATAAAAGATTTAAATGATACTATCAACCACCTTAACTTAACTGAACTTTTAAGGAGTATCACACCAAACAATGACAGAATCCACATTCTTTCCAAGTGCATGTGAAACATTTCCCAAGACAGACTATAAAACATGTTTCTGTTTATTTCAAAAGATTGAAATTTTACAGGGTATATTCTTTTCATATAACTGATCTGAAATTAGATAATAATCAGACAACCAGAAAACAAGTAGAAAAGCATAAAATATTTGGAAATATTTAAAAAAACAAACACTTCTAAATAACACATGGGACAAAGAAGAAATCATGTGAAAATGTAGGGAATATTTTAAACTGAAAGGTAATAAAAACACAAAGTATTGACATCTGTGGAATGCAGCTAAAGCAGTTCTCGGACAGAAATGTGTAGCTTTATGCAACTGTATAAGAAGAAAAATCTAAAACCAACTTTTTTTTTTAACGGCCCAGGCAAGCCTGGCGTGGCAGGAAGCGCCATGGAGCTGCCCGTGCCTAAAACCAACTATTTAAGCTTCCAACTTAAGAAGCTAGAAATAGAAGAGCAAATTAAAATCAAAGCAAATTGAATGAAAAGTTTAATACAGACTTTGGAATTTTCACATATTGCTGGTAGGAATGTGAAATGATGCCATCAATTTGAAAGAGTTTAGTAGTTTCTCAAAAAGTTACATATATAATTATCACAGGACTCAGCAATTACACACCTCAGGAGGCTGAGGCAGGAGAATTGCTTGAACCCGGGAGGTGGAGGTTGCAGTGAGCTGAGATAGCACCATTGCACTCCAGCCCAGGCAACAACAGCAAAACCCTGTCTCAAAAAATTAAAAAAACTAAAACAAATTTTTAAAAAGAATAGCTTTACTCTTGGCATAGTGAATTGGTATAAAAATTTTTTTACAAACAAAAACAAAGAATAAGCAAATACATAAATATAGCTTTATGCAAAAAGATGTTTATAACAATGTTATAATCTACTAAAATGATGTGATTAAGTACATTATGGTTTATTCACCAGATAAAATAGTATACAGTCATCAAAATAGATTCCTATAAAACTTATGTAAACAACACAAAGAAAACCACTTAAAATGTGAACATAAAATTGTATGTGTGCTGTTTATTACAAATTGTAAACAAAAAAGGACAAAAATAAAACTGACTCTGCCACCATAGGTGTTAGAATTATTAGTGACTTTTTCTTTCTCTCCAATGTAATCATTAGCTGTCTTAGGTATATTTGTTTAAAAACTTAGGACAGGTGAGTGAAAGAAATATACTTACTCAGCAATGTCAGTATCGTTGCTGTTGCTGGTTTTACCAAGCCCGCTAGCCATGAACACACAGTTGATGATAACGGTGCTGATAATGAACATGCTGAACAATGTGGCCAGCATCCATTAAGGCAGATACATTGCAGGATGGCATGAGTCATTAGCTATTGGGTAAGACTGGGAGTGCCTCTACTGGTGCCCCTTTCTGCAGGTGCATTTATCTTCTGACTGTGAGTGTTGGCTGAGAACAACTCACAACTGTCCCCTCCTGTGGGGAATTGTACCCTGCTGAATAGCAGCCACCTCACTTGGAGAGCTACACACCTTCTTCCACATGTCTGACTACCTTAAGCCCTCGCTTCAAAGTGGGACAATTCTGTGGTGCAATTTGTGCTCCAGAGTTCCTCATGGGATCATTATGAAGCCAACTCAGCTGAGACTATATCCTTGCTTGGCTCTTCATTTTCTTCCCTTCTGCTTCCCTTTTTCCTTCTCCAGAAAGCACTCCTCTGTTAAATCACTTAAATAAGAATCCCCATATCAGGCTCTGCTTCTAGGGAGCCAAACCCAAATACTTATTCATTGCCATTCTCCTCAATATTTAACTAAATCTATCAATCCATATCTTTTTCTCATCCCCCTGTCTAAAACTTCCTAGTGTCTCCGTCAACCCTTGCATACATCAGAAATGCTTAATCATTCCTACCTGCCTTTACGCTTTAAGACTGACATTGCAAACCCTACGTTTTAAGAGTCTGACAAGGGATATAAATGGGTAAAATGTTCAGCCACAAGAGGGGTGCAGAGGTGGTGAGACAGAGCTTACATGTCCCCTCCAAAGAGGCAGCAATTTCTTACTCCCCCGATTTTTGCCAGGTATTAACAGAAATGTAAACCTAGCCTTGCCAGTTTCCATCTTTCAAGAAAAGCTGGAAATCTGGAGTATTCATGTTAGAAAGTGTTTTTTAAAGCTTTATATACTGTGTAAGTCCAACACAACACATTTATCAACCCAATATGGTGCACAGGTTGCCAGTTTAACTCTTTAGGTGTCAGCTTAGATGTGCCTTCCTCTAAGAAGTTATCCTTGATGCCTCTAAAGCACAGCAGTGCCTCTCCCTGCTACCACTTTCACACTACCAATCTCACTGAAGAAATGGCCTGCCTTTCAATCCATCCCCTTCTGAGGCCACAGGATCCCAGAGAAGGAGATGACATCTTGTTCACATCCAGCACAGTTCCTGCCTGCAGCAGTAGGCACTCAGCCAGTATTTGTGGAAAGAATTCACTATTTGCTTCCATTCAATAACATGAACTATCTGGGGCACGTGCACTTTTCAAATGATCTGGATTTAGTAAAAGGTGCAACGAAAGGATATGAATGGACTGAGATTCTAATGGCTAAACTTCTGATTGAATTGAAAGGTCCAAAAATGAACAAGGCACGCTTGGCACTGAAGCGGTAGATTGTTCTCTTTTTGTTTAACACCATAAACGTCTGCGGAACAAAACAAAACAAGAAAACACACACATATACAGCAGGAATTAAATGCAGTGACAAAACAATATTTATAATTAATTCATTTAGAGAAAATTATAATATAACTGTGGGGCTGTGGAATATGTACCCAATGGGACACTCCAGAGGAACCAGAGATGGAAAACATGGGACCTGAAAATACCAATATTAGGAGTATAGAGGAATAACTGGGAAAACAAAACCCTTAATATTATACTCCATGGTATGCATCAACGGGGAAAGGGACTAGAAGAGAACTTAAGAGACAGAAATTGACCTTGGACATTTAGATTCCGCAGATTACTTTAAATTATTTTGATTACTAATGAAAACTTTGTAATGAATCATAGGAGAGTAAGTGACCTAGAGGATCCATGTTTGCTATGCCGGGGGTCTAAGAAGTGCTGAGTGAAATACCAGTAAATTCTAACCTTGATAATCTTCAAGAAAAAAGTCACCAAATTTTCTGGACTTGCTCTTTCTCTACCTCTGTGGACATAGGGGCAAATCTGCCTGTGGTTCCTAACCAGCAGGGATGGTGTGCATTGCCCCCACAGAAGGCATTTGGAAGTGTGTGTGGGTGTTTGGGGTTGTCTGTTATAATGATTATGGGTTCTACTGGCCTTTATTGGGAAGGCCTGGGGATGCTGAACAGGACACACTTGCCAGTGTGCATTATGCCTCCCAAAGTGCCCAACGGAGTCCCACTGAAGAACACTGACCCTCTGCCCATTTTCTCCTAGTGTGACTCCCTGGGCATTGGGAATGAAGCTGACCCTGGACAACAACCTGTCACTAACAGGCTTCTAACTTCCACCCCCAAACCTCCCTCTTTCCATTCAGCTGTAATCTAGCTGTCCACATATCCGTCCCTATGGCTGTCAGTTACAAAAGCCTTCAGAAAGTAACACTCATTCCTTTCTCCTCAACTCATAGGTCCTTCAGATGTGCAAAAAGTACTACTTGGCCATGTAATACCACATGTTCTCAGGCAGGAGAGACAGACCTCTGCACCCAGGCCCAAAGTCAGTACTGTGATTGCTGCCTTGGCACAGGTGCCAGAACCTCAGCCACTGCCAGCCATCAACCTTCCTTTAATGAGTTGCTGGGATTTACTGGTCTGATGGTCATCTGGCTGCAGGGAAAAGTCTGTGCTAGGATATTTTTCTTTGCCCCCATAATAATGAAATGAGCCTCAGAGTTTTTTAAAAAATATATAAGCAAGAGCCCAAGACCTGCTTTGGAAATTCTGTGCCTGTGCTTTGAATAGACAGACAATTTTAGGGCAGAAACAAACCTCTCTTTGAGGTGAGTCACCCCAGATTAATAAGTGGTACAATATGGCACTCCTTCTGTGCCCTTTGATTTTGATATTTTATTGATGCCTCTTCTTACTGCTTTAAATATTTTAACTAATGCTGTAGTTAACTCTACTTGCCAGGGTTTTAATGATTAAAATGATAGGTACTAGCTCCTCCTGTCTGCTTGCTGATACTTCTTTACTTCTTTTCCCTGTTGCTCTTTAAAATGGGGCTTCTAAAGAGAAGCAGCCTGTGATGATAAAAAGCGTCCTTGGGTTTGCATCCTAGCTCTGTCACTCACTGGCTGCTTGACCTGGCTAAAGCCATTTTTCCAGCTAGGCTCTGGTTTCCTCATCTGTAAGATAGAGTGCTAATGACAATCACACATACCTCACATGACAGCTGAGAGCACTGGTCATGTGAGATCAGGGCTGTGCGGGGCTCTAAATAAACATGTCTTCTGATTTAAACGGAAGACCCAGACTAAGAAGCAGTGGTCCTAGAATTACCACCCAGGCTGGAATAGTTCTGTTCTCTGAGAATTGTCAGCTGCACACCAAGCTGCTGCCTGACTCATGGGTCTCCTATCCAGCACTGAGGCAGGAGTCCTCTACAGTTGAGTCACCTCCAACAACTGTACCTCCAAGAAGGCCCTGGAATCCTGGGGCATCAGGAAAAGGAGAAATATTGGAATGTTTTTGCTTCTTCACTTCTTTCCCCCTTGCTTGTCCTTCATACTTACACCCTACTTTCCTCTATACACGTGGTCCTCATTTGCCTGGCAACCCTAAGTCTATCCCAACTGAAGGACATGCAAATCAGGCAATCTTGCGTTGAAAGGTCAGTTTCTTATGGATGCCAGCCAGACGTCCTCAGCACCCCATATTTTCCAGGGCTTTCCCTAAGTTCCCAGCCTCCTCCCGCTCTGACCTCAGTATGGCAAGGTGGGATATCCAATCTCTGCTGGATCACACCGCGAGATGATGATGGCAAGATCTTCTGAGCCTTTCCTGAAGGTGGACAGTATGCAGACAACTGTGCTCACAGCCTCAGGCTCTAGAACAGTCATCTGGGAGCTCAAAGTTTACATTTCCTCACTCAGGAGCCCCTTCAAGAAACCTTTATCAGAATTTCCCTGCAAGAACTGCATCCAGGCAGATAAAATAGCAAGTCTTTCACATATTTGCAAAGAATTTACATACAATCTGCATGTGCCCCCTTGGTTGCCATTTCTCTTAGATTTCATTTATTGAGCTCCTACTATGTATCAAGTGTTGGTTTGAACCCAATCAGCCTCGTTTAATAGCCTAGAAAGCCTATTATCCAAGAGTTTTTAAGGTAAAATCTTGTTACCATAATGAGCATTTCTGGACCGTGATATTAATGCTTTATATCAGTATAATGCATTACAGTGATAAAGTGCTTTCCCAGCATATCCACACTCTAAGGTGGGAACATCAGGCATCACTTCTATTTTACAGATTTTAAAAGTGAAGGTTTGTAAAGTGACTTGCCCAGAGTCATAAAGCCAATCACTTGAAACGGCCTGCACCTGACCTCTGTGACTACTAGTCCAGTCCTCTCTCCAGACTTCATTTGTGTTTTCTCCATTTTCCTTTTACCCTTTTGCAGTCCCTCATCCTCATCTTCTCCCCTAATACATGCCTTTCAGATAAAAAATGAGGGCTGAAAAGAATTTTCAGGACTATGTAGGCAATGCCAGGGGATGACAGCAATGAAGAGGCACGGCCTGCCAGCTAAAGGCCCAGGTGTGGTGTTTGGAGAACCCGTAACACCAGTTATAACGGCATGGTTAGAACACCCCCACCTCCTCATGAAGTACCTTGTGATTTCTGTAGAATGGGTCCAGGTCTTCCAGGGGCTTTCCTATGAGATCACGGGGAATGTTGCCATAGAGCTTGGGCAACTTCCTGGAGACCTTCAGGTCAAGCTGAGGCCGGGGCTGGGGCACTTCTCCTGTCTGGTCCTTAGACTTCTTTTTCTCCTTTTGGATGGCAATCCGCTTCTCAATTGCGGCCAGAGAGTCAGAAGTGAAGGGGCGGAAATTCCGCTCATCTGGGAAAATTACTGGGTAGCATCTGTCATCCATCTTCACCCTCAGGACAGAGACAAGCCACAGATCCTCAGAGAGTCCTCGGGAGGCAGGAATAAAACAGTCTGCCCTAGGATTCCAGTCTTAGAGGATGGTGTCATAAGGACCTACAAGAGCTGAGCTGAGGTCAGGAGGCTTGGGAGCCGACAGGCTGTGACGATCAGAAGAGACGACCACCACCGTGGGTAGAGCAGGAATTTTTGGCACAGACAGAACCAAAGCAGGGCATCATTCCTGGAGGACCTGGCAAGAGGTGGGAAGTTGAGTTCAGAAACAAGTGAGCAGAAGAAGCCCACTTTCTAAAACTGAGACCCAGACATTATGCAAGACAATAAGGCTGAGCTGGCTCAGCTGCTGAAGTGAGACCTGTAAGTAGCATGCAAGTGGCCGCCATGGCCCTAACAAGAGGAGGAGGAATAAGGAATTGACTGGGCCATAGGTGTTGGTTGCAAAAGCAAAACTATAAGTACATGGGTCTTTTGTTGCATCTGGTCAGCAAAGTTCTTAAAACATGATGAGGCGGGAACAAAAGAGCCGTAAACACTGGCATGAACTGCGATCCATGCCAGCTCTCTCATGTCTAGAATTCCAACCCTAAGAAAGCAGAAAGGGTTTGTTAATAGGGTTACTCTATCATAGGATAATAGGTTCTTTGAGGACTTTCTCTACAGCTCCAGGGTTTAAGCTGGACACTGAAAACAAGTAGTGTTCAGGCTGAATGCCTCTATTCCCCATGCCAGGCATCCTCTTGCTTTCTTATTTACTGGATGCTAGTCTAGGGCTGACTCTTATACCCACTCCAGGGAATTACAATAAGGAATCCAACATATCCCTGGTTTGTTCAGTCAACAATTATGTGCCCTGTGTCTGTTCTTGGCATGGAGCTAGGCACTAACGGTGAAGAAACACAGTCCCTGTTCCAGCAGCTACACTGTCCTAGAGTAGTAGAAAAGACCTAGACAGGAAATTAAAATAGAACAAATGTTACTACAGGGAGAAGTAGTGGGGCTATGTCTACATATAGGATAAGTTGTCTAATTATAGGATACCTGTCTCATCATAGGATACGTGTCTCATCATAGGATACGTGTCTCATCATAGGATACCTGTCCCATCATAGGATACCTGTCTCAACATAGGATAGATGTCTCATCATAGGATATGTGCCTCATCATAGGATACGTGCCTCATCATAGGATACCTGTCTCATCATAGGAATACCTGTCTCATCATAGGATAGGTGTCTCATCATAGGATACGTGCCTCATCATAGGATACGTGTCTCATCATAGGATGCGTGTCTCGTCATAGGACATCTGTCTCGTCATAGGATGCGTGTCTCATCATAGGATACGTGTCTCATCATAGGATACGTGTCTCATCATAGGACAGGTGTCTCATCATAGGACAGGTGTCTCATCATAGGATACGTGTCTCATCATAGGATACATGTCTCATCATAGGATAGGTGTCTCATCATAGGATGCGTGTCTCATCATAGGATACGTGTCTCATCATAGGATACGTGTCTCATCATAGGACAGGTGTCTCATCATAGGATAGGTGTCTCATCAGGGAAGCAGGGGTTGTTGTCCAAAGCTTTAATGTCTAAATGAAGACCTCAAGGAGATATAAGACTTAGGACAAGAAAAAAGAGGGCCATTAGGATGTTGCAGGGAGAGCAAATAGTGTGCACAGGAGCCCTTGGCAGAGAAAGAGCATGATGTCCAGCAACTGGTTCTGTTTGCCAGGAATGGACATTTCGTGGAGTGGAATGGCCAATAGGGCTTTACTCAGCAGAGGGAGAGAGTGTGCACGCCTGTAATCCTTGGTAAAGACCATGGACTTACCCTAAGGATAACGGGGAATTGCTAAAGGTTTGGGTTTTCATTACTATCATTATTCTTATTATAGAGAAGAAACACTATCAGATTTGTTTTTTTTTTTTTAACTATTAGGAATTATAGGGATATGGATAGAGCTGGAAGATCCTTATCTTTAGCAAACTAACTCAGGAACAGAAAACCAAATATCACATGTTCTCACTTATAAGTGGGAGCTAAATGATAGGAGCTCATGGACACAGAGAAGGGAACAATACACATTGAGGCCTATGAGGCCTATGGGAAGGCGGAGGGTGGGAAGATGGAAAGGATCAGGAAAAATGAGTAACGGGTACTAAGCTTAATACCTGAATGACGAAATAATCTGTGCAACAAACCCCATGACACAAGTTGACCTATGTAACAAACCTGCATGTGTATCCCTGAACTTAAAATACAAGTTAAAAAAAAAAGTCCCTCTGACTGTTGGGGACTGAAAGGACTTGAGAGAGGAGGATGAAGGCGAGGCTACAATCAGAGAAGTGGGCTGGGAAACAGTTCCAGGAACTCAAACTGCAGGGGATGACCTAACGACATGGGTGGATTTGAGAGTCAGTAAATAGCCTTGACACATGATTAATGGGAAGAGAGGGGCTTGAGGGATGGTCCTCATGGAGATTCCCGGCTTGGGCAGCTGGGAGGACAGTGTGGCCACTCACTGAGACAGAGTGTAAGAAAAGGCAGGCACTGCGGGGAATACATTTGGTTTACAGCACACAGCACTGAAGCTGCCTGGCGGACCTGCAAGTGGAGAGAACTGAGGGGCACCTGAATACAGGGAATCACAGTGCACGCATGTCAGCCTCTGAAAACAGCGTGAAAGCAAAGAAATGTAGTAAAAATTTATCTTGAAACTCCCTCAGGAAGGCACCATACTAAAGAGGCATCCCAACTCATTACTTAAACGAGTTCAATACAACTGGCTTTTCTTCCACTGCCAGAACTAGACACTCTTTCTTCAGGTTAGCCCCAAACAAAGTAGTTGGATTGTGTTTCAGGGCCATGATAAAGGCAACGTAAGAGTCTTCAAGTATGCTATGATTAGGGCAAGCAAGGATAACACTGTGAGAGCCATGTATCCACTGAAACTAAGTGGAGGACTGTAGATTCATCACATTCCACCCCACAGTGTCAAGCTCATAGGCCTGGATGATGGAATTGCCCACACTATTTGAATGGCCCCCTCCTCATGAACATGTATAATTGAATTTGTATGAATTAAGTGGGCATATAATAAGACTCTGCTGCATTTGACTCTAGAGCTCAAGAAAGAAATTTAATTCAGAGCATAAGTCTTTTGCAGTGAACAGCATATGGGTGCTAGTCAGTCCTGTGAAATGGAAGCACTGTGAAAGACCCCGGATGGCAAAAACTGGACCCTATGCTCGATTACAGCAAGGAGCCCAGTGGCGGGTGGTGCTGCCATTCTAATGTGGCGATTAAAGAAGAAACTGGACACATTCACCCTGCCATTTTGATCTGGGAGATATTTTGCCTGGGTTCTTAAGAAAGAGAAACTTGCTAAAAATAAAAAACACAAAACAAACCCTGAAACTGCACACATTAAAATTTGTTACAGATGATTAAAAACAAAAAAACAAACCTGAAGAACCACATCTTAAAAGTAACATTGGCTGGGCACGGTGGCTCACGCCTGTAATCCCAGCACTTTGGGAGGCTGAGGCGGGTGGATTACCTGAGGTTAGGAGTTCGAGACCAGCCTGGCCAACATGGTGAAACCCCGTCTCTACTAAAAATACAAAAATTGGCTGTGTGTGGTGGTGTGCGCCTGTAATCCCAGCTACTCAGGCAGCTGAGGCAGGAGAATCAATGGAATCCAGGAGGGGGAGGTAGCAGTGAGCTAAGATCGCACCACTGCACTCCAGCCTTGGCAACCCAGCCAGACTCTGTATCAAAAAAAAGAACATTGAGGCCAGGCACAGTGGCTCACACTCGTAAACTCAACACTTTGAGAAGCCAAGGCAGGCAGATTGCTTGAGACGAGGAGTTTGAGCCCAGCCTGGCCAACATGGTGAAACCCCGTCTCTACTAAAAATGCAAAAATTAGCTGGGTGTGGTGGTGTGTGCTTGTAATCTCACCTACTCAGGAGGCTGAAGCACAAGAATCTCTTGAGCCCGGGAGGTGGAAGTTGCAGGGGGCTGAGATCACGCCACTGCACTTGAGCTTGGGTCACAGAATGAGACTCTGTCTCAAAAANAAAAAAAAAAAAAAAAAAAAAAAAAAAAGTAGCATTGGAAACTGCAAAAATTGACCCAGGTAAAGGAAAACTGAATAAAAATTATCAACTCAAATAAGTCTGAGAAAATGAAACCACACACAGTATGCAGTAAAATTTCCTTATTAACTAAAAAACAATTAATAGAAGAATCAAATGTTCTTTAAAAATAAACCCAGGAAAATCAGACAGTGAAAATCAAGGCTGGATCCACAAAATAGATAAAATTGATAAATTAATAGAAAATCAAGATGGCACAAGCTATAATTGGTAAAATTTGGAATGACTCAAATCCTTGTGGTGAAATTTGTACAGAAATACTTAATTCTGAACATTTTCCGTACAGAAAATAGATTGCATTGCTAGGAAATTGATCAATGAATTAAACTAGCTAAGTGCAATTGTTTTGCAAGTCCTGTTAACAAATTTGAAGATAAGATCTTCAGATACTGAATGACTCTACAAAATAATTATTTGAGTATATGCTTCCAAACAATAAAAACAGAATCCAGAAAAGCAGGATGCATGGAATCCAAGACACTGTGTCCTTAACCCAAGAGTGCCATAAAAGGTTTCAGGCCAACCACACATCAGTAGGCTTCAGAAGCAGCTGCTCAACCACCATGGCTCATGTATAACTATGTAACAGACCTGCACGTTCTGCACGTGGATCCCAGAGCTTAAAGGTTAATTTTAAAAAGAAGAAGAAGAAGAAGAAGAAGAAGAAGAAGAAGAAGAAGAAGAAGAAGAAGAAGAAGAAGCAGCAGCAGCAGCAGCAGCAGCAGCAGCAGCAGCAGCAATTGCTCCAGCTAAATAGAAAAGTCAGAGAATCCTGGGAAAAATCTTTAGCATATAAAGAAAATTTTATGTAACAAAGAATATGTTTAAGAAAATAATTTTTCCACATGTTAAAAGAAAGGCAATGAGAAATTCCATCAAAATTTGCATTTGAAGATGTACTTCAAAAGTCATGGTTTATAGGTAAAGCCAATTAAATTATTTGAGCCCTGATACCATGCCATATTGGCAGGAACCTTGTTAAGGACCATCCTTTAACATAATAGAAAAAATAAGAGAATTCACTTGACCTTGATACTTAGAATGTGCA